GGGACGCGGAGGAACCCCCACAAGCCCCCCAAGAAAGGACGAAAAGGCACCTTGTGTACGCTGGAATCCAATAGAGAACGCTCGAATCCAATTCCCAAAATTTTTGGGAATCTTTCGGTAACTAACTTTCTCCTTATCCGACTCCTTGCTGTCTTTCTCCGCCACAGGAGGGGCGTCCTCCAGCGGCAGGAGAGAGAAAATCTCAACGAACTCCCCCCTCCAAATCTTGTCCCTTGTTTCCTGTTTCAAGTGGAGCCCTAGAGGGCCCAACCAGCACATCAAGGGGGGCAGATGGGGAAGGAGACTGAACTGCCGGGGGGAGCAGCGCGGGCGACCAAACTGACTGCAGCTTACTGTCTAAAGAGGTGTCCCCACTACCTGCCGCCCCCCACTCCCAGTGATCCAAAAAACCCTGAAGATCTAAAAGGAACCCCCCCAGCCCAAGCACTGAAGCATTAAAAGAAGAGGGAAAACACTACTCACCGGTCGCAGTTCGGCGATCCGAACCCAGAACTGCACATAAAGAAGGCAGAGGAACCAAAAGTTGAGATCCAGCATCCACAGAATGCATCTGCTGTGTTCCAGGCGCCATCTGCTGGACAGAGCCATGAACTGCCACCAGTTCCTGAGAAGAGGCCCCATCTGTGATCCAGGCGCCACCTGCTGGACGGAGCAATGAACTGCAGACAGGACCTGAGAAGAAAGCGGTGGAGAAGCTGAGAGCCCACGCCCTGAAGGAGGTGGCCGAGGTAAGTGAACTGCAGGGGGCCCAGGCAAGGTAGAGAGAGGGGGAGAAAACAGGGGGGGACTAGACAGAGTAGGACAGGGACCTAGAAAGGGGGGGTAGGAAAAAGGGGCGACAAGAAAGAAGGGGAAAGGGGGTCAGGGAGGGCACAGAGGGAGATAGACACAGGGGGCCCAGCCAGAGACAAACTGGGCCCCCCAAGAGACCCCACAGCGGGAGACAGGGGAAAGAGACGCCACAGCGGGAGACAGGAGAAAGGGGGGAGGAGCACGGGACCCAGCATACCAGGAGCCTTCCTCACTGGCAGAGAAGGCTCCCGACCCATGTGGTACCCCCCTGCCCCCGAGACAGTGCAGTGCACGAGGCCTCACCTCAGGCCTCCCAGTAGTAGGCCGCGCCACGTGCGCTGTTGCTCCCAGTCCTCAACCGGGCCCGAGGAGTATTATCAGGGGAGAGAGCCTGGCAGGCAGGCGGGAACGCCTGCCAGTGCTGGTGCGGCCCCCAAGGGAGACCGCAGGGGGTGCTCCAGTTGCGGGTATGCCGCGGGGGGGGGCCCCACCTGCAGCTATACCTCCAGTAATGTGCCCAAATTGCTCCCTCAATTGCCGGCCACCATCCAGTACTTCAGTAGCCCTGAGGGATGCCAGGATCGCTTCAACACCCATCACCTCAAGCTGTGAAGACTACAGGCCCAGGCAAACAGAAGCAGGAGGACGAGAAGAAGCTGTCTGCTGGCCCGGTTCCCAAGTGGCACTGAGGTTAGACTACTCCCCCCCACTAACTACATAGAAACTTAATCCCACCTACACATACTTCCTAAACCACTCCCCTGCATCTATCCCCATACTCCTACATGTGCCCTTGTCCACTTAGCTGCACTATCTCCCCAGGGCCTGTTCTACTTTAAAGTGGAGTGGGCTAAATATTGTATGTTGTTTATGAATGTGTGCATATACAGTATGCTTCTTAGTGATTGATCTTAGTGACCAATCTATACACACAACTGCTTTGCTTTCTTACTCCATATGCTAGTTATGTGTTCCCAGGGCCGGATTAAGAGCACAGTGGGCCTGGTGCTGACAATTATGATGGGCCTAATTACGGAATCTTATCGACCAAAAACACTAAAACAGTCATACCTCCCAAGCGTCATGTATCTGATGGAGATGGTGCTGGAGGGAAACTCACAGAATGCAGCTATAAGAAAACACATACTCTATGCTAATTTCTCTCTCATTTATGCTATCATCTTTCAAGTAAATCCATAACCCCTAACAGCAGTGTCCAGTGAAGCAGGAAGTCAATGGGCGGGGTAAAAGGGTGTGCCACTGGCGCGAATCACGTGACAAAACCTGCCAAAAGGGTTGAACATGCCCAAAAAGGGGGCATGTTTGTCCAAAGAATTGGAAGGTCAGCCTGGCATGAATGCATGTCAGGCTGCCTGCCAATCTTGCAGGCTGTCTAACTAAGGGCATACTATGCAGGCAGAACCTTGAGCTTGACATAAATGCGTCTAATAATGCGCTCACTCCATGCTTTCTAAGGACTTTCCCCTAGCACTCGCTGGTCCACTTGTCTCCTTACCTTCTTACTAGCAGGCAGAAGTTCCTGGTATGTAGTCTGAGACAGAGAAAAGGTGTATGTAGTGAGTGTAGAAGAAAGGGGACATGCCACAGTGTTAGAAAGACCAATGCCTGCATTACCTAAACTAATTTTAATGTCAGCCAGTCCACACAGGTTTTGTTCCCATACATCCCTCTTCCAAACTTAAAGGGACACTATAGTCACCAGAACAACTACAGCTTATTGTATTTGTTCTGGTAAGTAGAATCATTCCATTCAGGCTTTTTGCAGTAAACACTGTCTTTTCAGAGAAAATAACTCCACTGGCCGCTCCTTAGATGGCTGCTAGAGGTGCTTCCTGGGGCAGTACTGCCTAGTGTGCAGCACTGCCATTCAGTGTCTCCACACTCTGCATGCAGACACTGAACTTTCCTCATAGAGATGTATTGATTCAATTTATCTTTATGGAGAGATGCTGATTGGCCAGGGCTAAGTTGGACTTGTGCTGGCTCTGCCCCTGATCTGCCTAGTTAACAGTCTCAGCCAATCCTATGGGGAAGTATTGTAATTTGCTCAGACCACCACTTCTGATCCAGCAGCTGCAGACTTGAATACAAGTAATATTTTACTATATTTAGGGAGGCAAAGGGGCCAGAGGGGCTAGATGGTGGTTTTAACACAATAGGGTCAGGAATACATGATTGTGTTACTGATCCTATAGTGCTCCTTTAAGCAAGAGTATGTGAAGAGTAGTTAAGGTTGCCACCTTTCTTGGAAAAAAATACCAGCCTTAATCATTTGTATAATTAATTAGTTATGCGTGACATCACATGATTTAAATCACAAGGAGTGACAGCAGAGAAAATTCTGTAAAATCACCAACAAACTACTCACAGTTTGATTCTGCTGTATAGATGGATTGTTCCCAGTGTCTCCCTGTCTCCCAGTGTCTCAGTCTCGCAAGTCACCCAGTGTCTGTGTCCCTATGTATCACAGTGTCAGTGTCCCCATGTTGCCCAGTCCCCTAGTCTCCCAGTGTCTGTGTCCCCATTTCTCCCAGTGTCCCAATGTCTCAGTGTGTCCCCATGTCACTAGGATACTGGGGACACTGAGAGACATGGGGACACAGGGAGACATGGGAACACAGGGAGACATGGGGACACATGGGGACACTGGGAGACATTTAGGGAAACTGGGAGATATGGGGACACAGATACATGGGAACACAGACACTGGGAGACTAGGGGACACTGGCTGGGAGACAGACACTTGGGGACACATGGGGACAGTTGTGGACATAGACATGGGGACACTGGGACATATAGGGACACTGGGAGACTTGGGGACACAAGGCACACTGAGACACTAGGAACAAAGAAACTGGGAGACATGGGAACTGAAATGGAAAAATCAATCAATGAATTGATTATTTCTTTGTGTATCTGCCCCTGGCCAAATCAGTGAAACAATGCGTGCACCCTCCCTGAAGTAATTCACACCAGACACAGGTTCCAGGTTGTTGAATAACTTGAGGAAAGTTTATTCAGAGGGGACGGCAGGTCCCTTTTAAAGCAGAATTACATCATAAGCATTGTCAGAGATAACATAGAATAATACATCAATAATTGGTTAGGTGTTAAGTGGTCTTACTAATGCTCTGCCTACTAAGGGTGATGTCACCAGGACCATGAGGGTCTCCCACGGTTTCCTGGCGCCATCTTGCTGCACGAGGTAGTTAGTCGGTGTTATTGGGGGAGGAGGGGTTAGAAGCTTCTAGCAGCCATCTTGATTAAAATATGCGTGTATAGCTTTATACTGTATATCGTGGGATGAGTAAATAGACATATTACTAACTAGGAAATATGTGCAGACCTTATTTCCACAACAGTCCCCCCTAAAATGGCTATTTACCATGACAACTGCCACTGTCCCTAGTGTATCCCTAGCTGCCTGCAGCTCATCTGTCTTAACCAGCATCGAACTCTTCACTCCGTGGGTAACCCGCAGTAGCTAGTCCACCACATCTCCGCACGTGAGACTCACCCATAAAGACAGACGCTTTCCCTACACTATCCCTACAGGAATGCAGTTGTCTGTTTGAACTGATGTGACTGGAGGGGTGTGTGTGGAGTGTCACTTTCGAGGTCTGTGATATCTTGGTGTAGGAAGGTAGGAGTCACGTCATCTATAGTCTTCCCTACAGCTTTCTGTAAGTACTTTTGTATGCAAGGGAGCACACAACAGGTTAGGAATAAGAAGATGATAATCATTATGAGAACAGCCGTTCCTACCTGGAACAGGGTCCTTTGCCAACCATTCATCCACCCAAACCATCTGTCCCAAGTGTCAGTGGCTCCTGAGTTCTTCTTTAGCTCGTCAGAGAGACTATCTAGCTTCTCTATGGCCATAGTCACCTTACCATTGGGCCCAGTGTTGTCTGGAATGAATGTGCAGCATGTCATAGTTTCAGGGAGGATCTTACATACACCCCCTTTCTCTGCTAAGATCATATCTAGTGCCATTCTGTTCTGAAATGTCATTTGTGTGGTGGCTTGTAATTGTTCTGCCAGGCCCTGTAGGGCATCCCTAGTGTAGTTAACAAAGCGCTGTTGATTATAATAAATGTAATTAATCCAATTGACATTCTTGTTAGCAGTTATCATTGGAATCAAGGATTCAAATCCTGCTGCCACCTCATCTCTTGCTTTGAATTCGCTAGGCACCCCCCTTGGCACACCAATAGCATACATGGGGGTCGAAGCTCCCTCGGATAGGGGCTTCACGTCTAGTTCTGGGATGTGTGTGTGTGTGTGGTCTAGCGTGTTATGGCTACCGTCTGGGATAATGTGGATGGGCATTATAGCTTTGGTCAAGGCGCACTCCCCCCACCATTGCCCCACCAGTTGGGACCTCAATTGTCTGTCGCCACATAACCAACAGATGTCTCCAACTGTCTTTGCATGGTTCATTAGCAGTGATACAGGCGGGCTATGGTAGGTTGAGCAATATCCAGATGGGAATTTACCCAGATACACACCAGTATTTTTAGATATTGAATAACACGTGTAATTACCTGGATATACTGTGACTCCATCGGGTGGCCTAACGTATCCATGAGTGATTGGGTAAACCCTTTTCCATGATTCACGTTAAGGAATTTGTGGTGGATTGTTCATAAAGACTTAAAACACATAATTCTACTTCAGGAGGTAAACTTAGAGGAACTGTACCCAGATGGGGCCTGGCTCCTCCACATACATAACAATTAGTCTTATTGTGTGAGTTAGCGTTGTACCTCATCCACTCTAGCCATAAATTGGTGTCTGAGAACCCAGTCTCTACTGCCATAGTATCTTCAAAGGTGGGGTTGGCTATAGCTACCATGTCATGTAGAGTCTTAATATGTGGTTTTAACGGGTTAATAGTCATGTGAGTGGTTCCTACCCAGTCTGGTGAGGTAAGCATGTCCTGTAGATAAAATGTCCCCAGTTTATTATATGAGCCGCCTCCCCTCCAGTACATTCCCATTACATATTCCCCTGCGTCTTTTGGGCTGGGGTGCTCTATGTTCAAGGTAAGTTTGATGGGGGTTGACCCAATAGGCTTACTTAGGGTCATTCTGGAGAGTAAAGGTTTTCCATCTCTGTCAATTCTGTCTAATGCACTCTGGGGTCTGTAACCCCATGGTCTACCCGTGTTCCACCCGGCGGCCTTCCATGAACTACAGTGATGTCCCCAAGTTCCTTCAGTCACACAAATGTATGGATCCTTTTTGTTAGGTATGTCCTTGTATATGGCTGCATATTGTGCTTGTGGAAAGATGCAAACAACTATATCACAGTAGTCAAAAGTGTATGTGGCTACATCTGTGTTAGAAGAATTGTACCAGAAAGTGTAAACATGATTATCTTTGGTTATGGCCACCTGTTGGGCCCAGGCAAATTGTAGCAGCGTAAGGAAACACAAAATACATAACAAATTCATATTTCAGTAGGAGTAGCCTCTTCTGGAGTAGGCACTTTCTTGCAATGTGAAGCGTGTATCCAAGAACTCTTTCCGGCTAGCTTAACTGACGTTGCTGTGATCAGGAGCACTTGATAAGGGCCATCAAATCTTGGCTCTAGGGTGTGTTTCCTGAGGAATTTCTTGACCATAACCCAATCACCAGGGAGCAGCTTGTGTGTACCTGTATTCGACTCAGGATCTGGAATAGAAGAAAACACTTGGGCATGGATTTTGGTCAAGGCATGTGAGAGGGCAGTCACATAATCTACCATAGCATCTGGTTTTTGCAGGCCACGGTTAAGGCTGTTAGCTCGGCTTCTTGGGCTGACTTAGTTGGCAGCTGCTTGTAATACTTGACATCCTGTGGTGACTGCATACCCAGTGTGATATTGACCCTGTTCATCAGCAAATCTAGAGCCATCCACAAACAGTGTTTGGTCTGGGTTAAGTAACGCAGCTTCGTACACAGTCGGCAGGTGGGTAGTTTCCATTTTCATTTGTTCAAAACAATCATGAGGAATATCAAGGTCACAGTCTATGGTGAGTAAGTCCTCACAGGCGTCTGTGTGGTACCTAGGGTACCCTGCTGCACAGTAGTTAATAGTCTTCCTGTTGACCCCCATAGAGGTCAGTTGTTCCTGGGTTGTTTGATTCCATGCCTTGGCCATCGGGCCTAAATCTCTCCATGAAATGTCAGGGGATTTAGTGAGAGATATGTGTGGGACAGCCGTTTCCCAATGATGTTAGAAATGTGTCACATTCTCTGGGAGATGAACTAATATGATCATGTTACCTGTGGAATCCCATAATAAGTCAGTCAGAGTGATTTGAACTTCCTTGAGTTGGAACAGTTCTTCCTCATAATTCATATCAGGGCCTGGACTGCCCTTAAACCACAGGGTGCAGTGGAGTAAGTTCTCTGAATGTTCATCATGTGGGGGTGCAAGGGCAGGCAGCTGCAAATCTGCTTTAACCTCCGGGTTGCCCAGCATCCTGTTGGGCCCCCGTGGAGAGACCTCGGTCCCATCTCCACCTGCCTGTTGTGGTTCCTCACAGGACCAGTCTATAAGGACAACTACTTCGGGTTCCTCTGGCTGCCTCAGGGGGAAACGGTTAACCTCCTCGAATGAAGCCTCTCTTTGGCTGCTGTAACACTCCTTCCGCTGAGCATATTCTCTTTCTTTCGCCAGCCGGAATTTTCAGTCCATCCTTGTGTTTCGCTCGGCTGTGACCTGGTTCCAGATCGCCTGGAATATATCCATGGGCACATTATAACCATACTGGGCCACTCGCTGCCTCACCTCAGCCAGCCAATCATCGCCAGAGCCTTCCATACTTGTCTGCTCCAAGTCGCTGGATACCTCTGCTCCCAGGGGCGCTGCACGTATACTAGCGTTGCCCTCAATTTGTAACTCCACAAACTGTGTCTCTGAGCTGCTTTACCTCGCACTAGGACGCCATCCCACCACTTGCCACCAATGTAACAGATCACCTGGCACCCCGACTGAGTACCTCCGTTGAAGGATGCTCCTAGCGCTTCCTGAGGACTCCAAGCACTGCAGCAGACACCACAACCACCGAACCGGAGAAGCATACTAATGCTCTCAAGCATTTGAATGCGGTAAGCAGCTGAACAGAAAAAGCATACAATCAGCTTACACTCCTGGCAATCAGCATACAATCCAATTCCTCCAATAACGAGACGACACTTCGTTTTGAGGTCAAACAGAACTGACTGTTCTGGCACATACAGCCTCTTTTATTCCCAATCCACTAACTTAGTACTGCCCACAGGATTTTACAGAACAACCAATAACACACGTACATTACAGAAAACACTCCCAGCAATTATACACAAAATCCTCCCCTCTGCTTGTGATCTAATTATGGCACACAATGGGTTAACATAATTATCACCAGCAGGAAAAATACAGTATCATAAAACACATCACAGGGACCCCAAATTATGCAACAAGCCGGGGGATCTGGGTGAACCACATATCCAAAGTTCACCCAGATCCGTTCAGTAGTTTGGAAGATACAGTTTAATGCAGATTCCGCAGAACATATACAGGCTATATGAAAAATAATAACTGTATAATGTGTCCCCTGTTGTATAGTTTAAAACTACTGAACGATGTCTTTGTGCACCAAATACTGGCGAGATGGCACCGTGTAGAAAAGTCCAAACAGTGTCTGTGATTTAAAATGGCCGCCATCCATTGTTCTCACCATGTGCCTCTGATACATGAAATGGTGTCTTTAAAGGGTAATACATCCCAGGGGCCATAGTCACATGGCAGGAGGCTGGCAATCAGTCTTCTCCAATGCCCAGTGGCGAGGTCGGTTTCGCCACACCAACCAAATTGTACCGGGTTGGAATTGGGGATCGAAACATTTAGTCTCTCCTGATATTGGCTTGCACACACTATAATCAATATCCAAATATCTACATTAAGATACAGATCCCTTACATTCATACTGTGAGTGCCAGATGAGAGTTTGGGATATTTGGTTACCTGTTTTAGTAGTCTTAATACAACTATCGCAATTCGGTATGTCTGTACTCCTACCTTCCTGACAAATCATAAAAATACTAAGACACATAATAAAACACATTATTCCTGAAATCCTCATTTTTCTTCGACCGTGCGATGGCCCCTCAGCTTCCCGATTGTGAGGGCTGCAAGGATGTTGTTCTTCTGATCCTCACTTTCCTTCACAGAGATCCCTTCGAGCCACTCTGGCTATGACACCTACTTTGCTGATCTCTATAGTTATTCTAGATGTCCCAATATCTCCTCGTCACTCCGACTGAGTTGCACGCTTCAACCGGATCTTTTTGGAACTCACAAATTCATCCCTGGTGTTATACCTGGATAGGATTGGCCATGCAGAAGGCGGGAACTTATGGCTTTTGAATTTAAAAGACGGACAGAGGAGACTGCAATACATACCTTCACTTGCCCCTGAGGAAGTCCAGTTTGGGACGAAACGCGTAGGGCGGAGGGACCACGACAGCACTTTGATATTTATATTTTATTTTTATTTTTATATTTTAAACGTTTATAGGTTGTTATATTTAGTTTTTATGTTACTACTTGCTATGGGAAGAAGGACGCCGGCACTGTGATTCCTTGAGTATTGTGACAAGCTGGATTTCAACTTTTTTCGTGTGAGTGCAATTCAATAAATACATTACTTTTTATCATATTGGTGCACTATGGTTTGTGTGTCTCTCCTGAAGAAGACTTCAGCTGTCTGTCAAGTCCAAAGATCGTTACATGCCTATACTGCTCTTTCATCTTGTGAGTGCAATTTCAATCAGCGCATTATTTGGTGTTTGAATTTACTACACTATATACTTTCCATGTTCATTCCTTTTTGTAGATTGTATTTTCTTTGTTTGCATTAAGAAGATCAGAGGGCTCTTCTTACAATCATACAGTTGGTAAAATAGTTTTATATATTTTTACCTTTTGGGGAGCACACGTGTTCTATATTTATATATATTCTTTGTTCAACCGGATCTTGCAAGGATTCTCAGGATCTGGGATAGCTTGCCCTAGAATGATGAATCCATGGAGTCACCTCTGCCACCTTTACAGCTGTTGGGGTAGATAAAAGAACAACATAAGGACCCCTCCACTTTTGACCTAATGGAACAATATTCAATTCTTTTAGCCACACTTGATCTCCTGGTTGATAGGAATGATATATGTTCACAGGTAACCTATCTTGCACCCATTTCTGCACCTTCTCCATAGTTTTACCCAACTCTACAACCTGCTGCCAAGTAATTCCTTCACCCAAGTGATTTAAGTTCCCCCTTAGATTACTTAATATGGGAGGTGGACGCCCATACATAATTTCAAAGGGAGACAAACCCATCCTTCTGGTAGGCGTACTACGTATTCGCAACAAAGCTATTGGCAAAAGGACATTCCACTTGAGCTGAGTTTCCTGACACATTTTAGCCAACTGGGTTTGTATTGTTCAGTTCATCCTTTCCACCTTTCCAGAACTCTGAGGTCTATAGGCTGTATGAAGTTTCCACTTGATACCAAGCACGAGTTAGTTGTTGCAAACACTGATGAATAAAGGCTGGGCCATTATCTGATCCTATAGAACACGGAAGTCCATATCTGGGTATAACTTCTCGCAACAGAAATCGTAGAACTTCTCCTGCCTTTTCTGTACGAGTTGGACAAGCTTCTACCCAGCCTGAGTAGGTGCACACAGCTACCAACAAATAACGATATCCCCCAGATTTAGGCATCACAGTGTAATCTATTGGCAAATCTGACATTGGGAGTCCTCCCATATACTGAACTCCAGGGGGTTTGACAGGGCCTTGTCTTGCATTATTTTGGGCACACAAAACACATCTCCGAACTATGGCTTGATTCAGACTAGATAACCTTGGTATATAGAAATGTTTCCTAAGAGATTCTTCCATACTATCTCTTCCAGTATGTGTACCATTATGAAAGTTTTGAACAATCTCTATAGCCAGAGATGTCGGAATAACTATTCTTCCATCTTCTAACTGATACCAGTTATTCTCCAGATATTTCCCAGCTTCAGTTTTCAACCACTCCATCTCTTGGGTTGCATATATTGGAGTCCATTGAGACAGAGGTGCCAGTACAAGGGCTGCGACATATCCCACATATTCCTCTTGCCCAGATTCAGCGACATATTTTGCTGCGTTGTCGGCCGTGCGATTTCCTTTGATGACATCACTATCACCCATCAGATGTGCTCTACAGTGTATAATACTGACTTCCTTCGGTTCCCATACCGCCTCTAACAGTTGGAGTATTTCAGCCGCATACTTGATCTCTTTTCCTTCTGAATTCAGCAATCCCCTTTCTTTATACAATGTTCCATGTGCATGGGTGGTTAGAAAAGCATACTTCGAATCAGTGTAGATATTCAATCTCAGCCCTTCAGCTAATTGCAAAGCCCTGGTTAATGCAATCAGTTCCGCCTTCTGTGCTGAATTCCCTTTTGACAGTGGCCATGCTTCTATCACCTTATCTATAGTCGTTACCGCATATCCTGCATAACGTACACCTTCCTTCACATAACTACTACCATCAGTAAAATACTGTATGTCTGGATTCTGGATGGGAAAATCATGAAGATCAGGCCTGCTTGAAAACACTTCATCCATTATCTCCAAACAATCATGTTGACTTTCAGTAGTCTGAGGCAAAAGGGTAGCTGGATTCAAATTGTTGACAGTTTCGATGTGTACTCTTGGATTTTCACACAACATAGCCTGATATTTGGTCATTCGACTGTTGCTAAACCAATGATTTCCCTTATAATCCAAGAGGGTCTGTACTGCATGAGGTACTCTCACATAGAGTTCATGACCCAAGGTGAGCTTGTCAGCTTCTGCTACCAGTAAGGCAGCAGCAGCCACTGCTCACAGACAAGGTGGAAGACCACTGGCCACTGCATCCAACTGTTTGGACATGTAAGTTACAGGTCTTTGCCATGATCCCAAGTATTGAGTTAATACTCCCACAGCCATTCTTCTTTGCTCATGTACGTACAGATAGAAAGGACGTGTATGATCTGGTGGACCTAGGGCTGGTGCACTCATTAGTGCTTTCTTAACATCTTCGAATGCCTTCTGTTGTTCAGAGGTCCACAAAAAGGGATCATGTTTTGTTTGTTTCACAGCTTCGTATAGAGGTTTCGCCAATATTGCATAATTAGGAATCCATATCCTGCAGAATCCTGCCGCTCCTAAGAATTCTCGCACTTGTCTTCTATTCTTTGGTATAGATATCCGACACACTGCTTCTTTTCTTTCAGGTCCCATCATTCTTTGACCTTCGGATATATGGAATCCTAAATATTTAACATTTGGCTGGCACAATTGTGCTTTCTTCCTCGATACCTTGTATCCTGCTCTCCATAGAATATGAAGCAAATCATAAGTGGCTTGTTGGCATATCTCTTTAGTAACAGCTGCTATCAATAGATCATCCACATATTGAAGTAGTACACATTCTCCTGGGATGGACTTGAAATCTTGCAAATCCTGGCTTAATGCGGATCCAAATAGGGTAGGTGAATTCTTGAACCCTTGAGGTAGTCTGGTCCAGGTCATCTGACGCTTTGAACCTGTAACAGCATCTTCCCATTGGAAAGCAAAGATATGTTGACTCTCACCAGCAATTCGAAGACAAAAGAAAGCTTTCTAAAGATCTAACACTGTGAAGTAGGTTGCCCCACCTGGTATCAAGGCAAGTAGATTGTAAGGATTGGGTACAACTGGGTGTATATTAACTACTGCATCATTAACTGCTCTCAAATCCTGTACAGGACGATATTCGTCCGATCCTGGTTTTTGAACAGGTAATAATGGAGTGTTCCAGGAGGAAGTACAGAATTTTAGGATGCCATACCTTACGAACTTATCCAAGTAGGTTTGCATGTTTTCCTTAGCCTTTTGGGGTATGTGATATTGACGTAGGCTCACAGGATAGGCCCCAAGCTTTAGTTCAATATGTATGGGTGGGATATTACAAGCAAGTCCTGGTGGATTATTCTCTGCCCATACTCGTGGAATGTCAAATAAGGATTCATCACTCTTAGGGTTAACACTTGTCACTATGGAATAGAAGCGCCATTCTTCTTCCCTTGGCACCGATATCGCCATTACGCCATTATGCCTGGTAATCCCTTAAACTTCAGAGATGTTGATCCATTAGGTAAAAAGGTTATCTGGGCTTGAAGCTTTGATAAAAGATCTTGTCCTAGAAGTTGAATCGGACACTCTGGCATATATAGGAACTGATGCTTCACCACATGGCCTTCCAGAATACAAGTGCGACTCTTAAGAACTGGTCTAGCTGCGCTTCTCCCAGTACCATCTTAGTCACCACAGAATGTTCAGCACCTGTGTCGATCATGAAAGAACTTCTCTTTCCCCCTATTGCTACATCGACCATAGGCTCCACTTGACCAAGGGGGATGGAGCCCGGTCGGTATCAATAGTCTTCCATGATAGTGTCAGCCAGACCCACAAAATCTCTATCCTCTCTTTCTCTAGGTCTCTGCATGGGTGGATAGTATCTGTCTCCTTGAACACTTCCTCTACTATTCCCACCATTCCCTCTAAAACTTCCTCTTCCTCTATAACTACCACTATAACCTCCTCGTACCCTTCTCTCTCCTTGTCTATCACCTTCATACTGCTCTCTCTGTGGACACTCACTCTTCCAATGTCCCTCCTTTCTACAATACGCACATTGATTCCTACTTAAAGGTCCCTTGCTCAGCCTATTCTCGTCTCCTCTATTCACTTCCCTTCCCTTCCCTGTCTTTCTACACTTGAGATAGGTACCGCTAGCATATCTGCCTTATTCCTCATCTTACGTTCTTCCTCCCGCTTTACCTCCGTCTCCCTATTCATATATACTTTATTTGCAATCTCCATTAGCTGTAATATGGACATCCCTACAAAGCCCTCTAATTTCTGTAATTTCCTTTTAATATCACCTTGGGCCTGGCTGACAAATGCTGAATTAATCATCCTAGAATTCTCAGGAGCCTCTGGATTAAAAGGAGTATACAACCTATATGACTCCAATAATCTCTCATAAAAGGTACTAGGCGACTCATCAACCTTTTGCAACACCTCAGCCATCTTTGACATATTAATTGCCTTTTTCTATCCTGCCTTTATGCCAGCAATTATGGCTTCCCGATAAGCCCTTAGTTGGGGCATGTCAGCACCATTCACGTTCCAATTTGGATCGACATTTGGATAATGGGCTACAGCCAATGCAACTGGATTGGCCTGATTTTGAGTACGGGACGTTTCCTCAAACGCTTTAATAGCCGCTTAATTAATCCGGGTCCTTTCCTCACAATTAAATAAAGTTAATAATAATTGCTGGCAATCCGCCCAGGTGGGATTATGTGTTTGGATATAGAAGTAACCAAATCTGTCATAACTTGAGGTTTGTCAGTATATGAAGAGTTATGAGTCTTCCAGTTAACCCCTTAAGACCGGAGGGCGTACTATTACGCCCTATTCTAAGCGGCTCTAAACGCCGCCGGGCGTAATAGTACGCCCTCCGGTCTTTCGGTACTTACCCAGTCGCCGGCGATCCCACGCCGGCGATCACGGTGGTGGGGACTCCCAGGGAGCCCCCCGCGGCACGTCCGTCCTCCTCGAGCCCCCCGGCCATGTGAGAGTGGGGTCCTTGTGAGGACCCCACAATCACATGGCCGGGGGTAGCTGCCTCTTGCATTGCCAGCAGGGGGGCTGCCTGTAATGACAGGTGGTCCCCCTGCTGGCTGAAAATAAAATTAAAATAAATAGTGTAAAAAAAAAATAATATATACTTAGATCATATATATATATGATCTAAGTATATATATATTTCCTGGCCATATCCATGGCAGCACAACAATGGGTAGCTCCTCCCCTATCCCTAGTTAGACAGGAACCAATTAAAATAAGGGTACAAATACCCCCTCCTACCTCCTCCTCCCTCAGTCTTTTTGTTCCTGTCCTATCCCTGTAGGACCAAATTAGTCTATTTTAGGACTATAAACACTTTTCTTTTATGGCTTACCTGAGGGTTTTTACCTTCTACCCCCAAGGAAGTTCAGCCTCTCTTCCTTGGGAAGCTTCAGTATCCGGCCCTGTGCAAAGGTGTCCCCCTGAAGATACCCCCTTAGTGACCGGGGGTCCTACTTGCAGTGACCCTAGGGGTAGCAAGAGAAAATAAATGCCAAATAATTCTGATTCCCTGCAGTGACCAAGAGGTAGCAGGAAGTGGCGAGAAGACCCTATTCTGGATGGATTTCTACATTGAAGTACAAAACCCCACATGTATGTATAAAAACAGTGAGATCATCCAAACAAATACTTTCTGCATATATTCTGTTAATTACATATGTGTGGGGTTCCCCCCCCTACCTATGATTGCTTTGTACCTTTCTTCTTTAACTTTTTGCACTAGCCTTCCCGGCGTCCTGTAACTCCTGGGGCGCATGTGCGCCGTTTTCGCGCGTGCTCGCTCGTTCACGGGCACACTAGCTTCGCGTGCACGCCAGTTTCGCGTGCACGCTATGTCCTTGCGCGCGCCTAAGCCGGCGCCTGGGTTCCGGCTGCAGCAAGGGTGCCTCCTGCTATGAGGTTGCTTCCGGGTTGGTGCCGCGCATGCGCAGTTGGCGAGCGGTGAATTCGCTCGTTCTGAGCATGCGCGGATAGGCGGTGACGTCAGATATGACGTCACACGCCTATTTAAGCGCCAAAAGTGTATATAGAGTGTACCTGAGGTTCTTATTAAGACTCTAGAAGTCCTGTTTTCATACATTTTCTACTTTGAATAGCATTTCCTTTGCAAGAAATATTTGAAGGTAAGTTTTACTTCTTAAAGGTATATACACATAATTATTTTTTTTTTTCCATTCCCATTTTCTTTTCTTTCTATACTAATTAAATTACTTTTCTAGACTATTTCGTAATCATCTCCACAATGGAGAAAGACAAAAGGAGATCAATTTCTTCTGATTCGGACTCTTCTGGATATAAAAATAGGTCACACTCTAGGAGTTATAGGTAAGCCATATCATATCATTAATTTTTCTTCTGGATACATAAAGTAAAAGAGTGCTAATATGAGATATTTCCCTATCATGATAGTTCTACGGGAAAGAAAACAGTGAGATCATCCAAAGGAAAATCTCCAAAGAAAAATCAATGCGAAGCTTGTAATAAAAAACCGCTGGAGGGCAAACGGTTATGTGCAGAATGTTTATCTGAAGCAGCTGGAACATCTAATCCTTCAATGGAATTTGTACAATTCATAAAACAAGCGGTGGCTCACGGTATCAAAGAAGCAGGGGCAAGTCACAAAAGACCCCGGTTACATGAACCTTCGGATTACCAACATCATGATTCGTCAGATGAATCCATGGATATGGAATCATACCAGGGGAATTTCTTATCTTCAGACGAAGAAGAAACTCAGGCCCCTGCAGATTTTCTAGAACCTGCTCAGATAGACCACCTCATTTACAAAGTCCGTAAATCTTTGAGCTTAAGAGAGGCAGTTGCAGAACAGTCAACCTCTTATCGTTATTTCTCAGACTTGAGAAAGAAAAGAGCAACCTTTCCAGTGCATGATACTATTAAGGAATTAATTAAAGACGAATGGTCTAATACAGATAAGAAGCTTTCAGCACAAGGCAGAATTTCTCGCCTCTACCCTGTTGACAAGTCTGATTCATACCATTGGGATAATGCCCCTAATGTGGATGCGGCAGTAGTTCGACTTGCAAAACATACCACATTACCAGTAGATGATGCAGGCTCATTTAGACACCCAATGGACAAGAAGATGGATCTGCATCTCTCAAAGGCTTATGTTGCAGCAGGGACTGGTTTTCACCCTGCTATAGCTCTTACTTCAGTATCCAGGGCCTTGAAAATCTGGATCGAAAACTTGGAAGAGGATATCAGAGATGGGAGAAACAGATCTTCTCTTCTGGAAAGATTAAATGATATTAAACTGGCCGTTGACTTTACGTCAGAATCTTCGGTAGACATGGTGAAAGCCTTAGCAAGGAACATGGCTCTTTCAATTTCAGCTAGAAGAGCTTTATGGTTGAGATCCTGGTCCGCAGATTCATCATCAAAGTCTAGTCTATGCGCCCTTCCTTTTCATGGTGAGATGTTGTTTGGTAAAAACCTAGACGAGTGCATCAAAAGAGCTGCAGAAGGTAAAAAAGCTTTTCTTCCACAAGACCGGAAAACCCGTGGATCCTTTCGAGCCAGAAGATACTCTGAGTACCCCTCTTTTCGCGATACCAGATCTTATAAACCGGGAAGAGAATATGGAAGGTCTATTCCATGGAGAGGTGGACATTCATCCAACAGAGGAGGAAAGTCTAGAGGTTCCTCATTTCACAAGAAGCCTTTATGACAAACCCACTTACCATTCTGGAGGAGTAGGTGCCCGTCTACTACTTTTCCAGAATATGTGGAAAAATTCAACTCAAGACAGATGGGTGCTGGATATCATACAAAGAGGATATCTTATAGAATTCTCCACAAGGCCGCCACCTCGCTCCTTCCAGAAGACTATCTGGCCAAGAGATGTAGAAAAAAGAGATTCCCTAAAAAAGTTTATCTCATCCCTTCAAGACGATGGAGTTATCGTTCAAGTTCCAAGAGCTCAGCAAACATACGGGTTTTACTCCCATATCTTTCTCACCAGAAAATCCACAGGGGGATGGAGACCTATATTAGACCTAAGCAGACTAAACAAGTTCCTAAACATAAGGAAATTCAAGATGGAGTCTCTTCAATCCATCGTAAAAGCAGTTTTTCCAAATCAATGGCTCATGTCAATAGACCTGGCAGATGCGTATTTCCATATTCCCATAGCACCCCAGCATCAAAGATTCCTCAGATTCGCTGTGGAAGAGGGGCATTTTCAGTTCCGTGCTCTCCCCTTTGGGCTAAGCACTGCTCCACGTACTTTCTCAAAAGTTCTGGTGGTACTCATCGCAGAACTCAGGAAGAAAGGCATTGCAGTGTATCATTACCTCGACAACATCTTGATTCTGGCAGAAAACAGAGAAATATTAGAAGATCACGGCCTGATATGTATACAGTATCTTCAACAACACGGATGGAAGATCAATTTCGCCAAAAGCAACTTAAAACCATCCCAGAACATGATATATCTAGGAGCAGCATTCAACACTGCAGAAGGGTCCGTCCAACTATCCCCAGAAAGGGGTATGAAAATTCGGGAAAAGGTCAAAGACATGTTAGCATCCAGTGTTTCCTCAGCAGAGAAAATCATGAGCCTCCTGGGATCAATGTCCTCCACTATAGGACTTACAAGATGGGCTCAATGGAGAATGAGGCCTTTCCAAAGGAATTTCCTTTCTCAATTCAAGGGCAATCTGTCTCAACCTATAATGATCCCTCCTCACGTACAAGAATCCCTGAAGTGGTGGACCCAGAAAGAGTCTCTCTTCAGAGGTTATCCCTTAGGAAACATTCCATGGATCATCATCACCACAGATGCCAGTCAATGGGGCTGGGGAGCCCACCTTCAAGACAACTATGTTCAGGGGAAATGGGCATTTTCAACCTCCGACACCCCTTCAAATCTTCTAGAACTTCTGGCAGTTTTCAAGGCTCTAATGCACTTCCAGCAACTTTTACTTCACAAATGGGTCAAGATCAGGACAGACAATGCCACAGTTGTGGCATATATAAATCACCAAGGAGGGACAAGAAGTTGCAGAATGATGAAACTTATGAAACCTTTGATGGCCTGGGCTCAAATGAATTTGGAGAATATCTCTGCAATACATCTCCCAGGAACTCAGAACTCTGTGGCAGACTTTCTCAGCAGGGTGAGATTAGACCCGGGAGAATGGAGTCTATCAGACATAATATTTCTACAGATCGTAGAAAAATGGGGCCTTCCCCAGATAGATCTAATGGCTACAAGCAACAACAGAAAAGTCAAGAACTTATTTTCGAGAATTCCAGATCCTCAGGCCATAGGAAGAGACGCATTGACATGCAGTTGGAACTTCGACCTAGCTTATGCCTTTCCTCCGAAACCCCTCATCTTCCCTCTGCTAAGGAGACTACGACAAGAGAAGACATCACTGATTCTAATAGCCCCTTTTTGGCCTTGCAGACCTTGGTTTCCGCTCCTACTAAGTCTGTGCAAGAAGGATCCATGGCGCCTTCCAGTTGTCCCATTCCTGTTACATCAGGGTCCAATTCACCATCCAAACCCAGCATCCCTTCGTCTGATGGCATGGTACTTGAAAGGGATGGGTTAAAGAACAAGGGATTTTCGAGATCAGTTATCGAGACACTTCTTCAAGCAAGGAAGAAGTCTACTTCATCCACTTACTACAGAATATGGGATGTATTTTCTTCATGGGCCAGTTCAAGGCCCTTTGATATGTTGAACCCTTCGACTACTGACATTCTTGATTTTTTACAATCAGGTCTAGAGAAGGGATTAAGTTATAACACTCTAAAAGTGCATGTTTCTGCCCTCTCTGCTTTAATTAATCATAGATGGGCACTGGATCCGGACATAGCTAGATTTCTGACTGCAGTCCTCAAGATCAAGCCACCCATTAAGTCTATTACTCCGCCATGGGATCTCCCTCTGGTCCTGAAGGCTCTTAAAGCAGATCCTTTTGAACCTATGACATCAATTTCCTGTCATCTTCTCACGATCAAGACAGTTCTACTAGTAGCCCTAGCCTCTGGTAGAAGGGTTTCTGATCTCCAGGCTCTTTCGGCTCGAGAACCTTTTACGATATTTCATAAGGACAGAGTCATCCTGAGAACGGTTCCAGAATTCCGCCCAAAGGTGACTTCAGAGTTCCATATGAATGAAGAGATAATCCTTCCAGCATTAAGTACAGAAGAATCTAATAACAGGGAAAACGCTGATGATGATGCTATCGACCTAGTAAGATGCCTTAAGATATATATACAGAGATCCTCACAATGGCGCATTTCGGAAAGGCTCTTTGTTATTCCTAATGGCCCTAGGAAGGGTCTGCAAGCTTCGAAAGCCACTATCAGCAGATGGATAGTTTCGGCCATTATCCAATCTTATAGGTCATCTAAAACTAGTGTTCCTGAAGGTTTGAAGGCTCACTCTAAACGTTCCCTTTCTTCATCCTGGGCAGCTGCAGCAAAGGTTTCTACAGAACTGATTTGCAAAGCAGCCACTTGGTCATCTTCTAATACATTTATTAGACATTATCGTTTAGATGTAAGAGCTGGCCAATACGATGGATTTGGCAGATCAGTTCTTTCTGCCTCATAGGACTAACTACTATTCTTTTTGTTCATCACATTGAGTTGTTTGTGACAATACACTTGCATTATTTAATAATGTGTCTGAGTTTTTCTTTCCCTCCCTTGGTTTTAGCTTGGGTATTACCCATTGTTGTGCTGCCATGGATATGGCCAGGAAAGAGATAAATTTACTCATACTTACCGTAATTTTATTTTCCTGGTCATAGGCCATGGCAGCACAAAGGTCCCACCCAGGGATATTGCTGTTAACTAGACTGAGGGAGGAGGAGGTAGGAGGGGGTATTTGTACCCTTATTTTAATTGGTTCCTGTCTAACTAGGGATAGGGGAGGAGCTACCCATTGTTGTGCTGCCATGGCCTATGACCAGGAAAAGAAAATTACGGTAAGTATGAGTAAATTTATCTCTCTCTCTCTCTCTCTTCTCTATATATATATATATATATATATATATATATATATATACACAATATATACACATATACATACACACACATACATCAGGTGTATTTTACTATTAATATATATATAATTATATATATATATATATATATATATATCAAATACACGATTGATACTGATTAAATATATATAATTATTGTTATATATATATTTATATATAATATAAAAATAAAAATTTAAATAATGCTAAAAATAAAATTAAAAAAATAATTAAAAATAAATAATTAAAAATATATAGATGTGTGTTATTTCGTTCTAACTGTATTGTGAAATTAATATATATATATATATATATATATATATATATATCAAAATACACGTAGAACGAAATAATATATACATCTATATACATAAATATATACGTATATATCACTATATATATATATATACCTATATATAAATAAAAATATTTAAACAAAATTATATAGATATATACATATATATACACAAAAAACTGTATCTGCTTGGCACTCTCCTTACATGAAAGGTTAAATAAACCACAATATTTTTGTGCCTAGGTGCAACCCGCGTTATATATATATATGAGCAAATAGGGGTGCACTCACAGGTCTTGAATAAGGACGACAATCACATTCTTAAGGTGCAAAAGTCTTCATTATATCCGTGAATACATCAACGTTTCGACCCCTAAGGGTCTTGAAAAAGACCCTTAGGGGTCGAAACGTTGATGTATTCACGGATATAATGAAGACTTTTGCACCTTAAGAATTTGATTGTCGTCCTTATTCAAGACCTGTGAGTGCACCCCTATTTGCTCATATATATATATATATACACATACGTATATATATATATACATATATTAATTCTACATATATATTTATGTAATATTTTTACATAATTAGGTC